CTCTCAGAAAGTCCGGCAAGCTACCAAGAGTATCCCACCCACACGACAGAGCCTGGCAAGCTTCCCATGGCATATTCGATATGTCAAAAACAGTAACAACAAGTCTCACAATGGAGACGTTACTGGTGCCCGCTCTAGCAAAATCAGTGAACAACAGGAGGACAGTGCTACGGTGCTACAGTTACCTTACCTCTACCAAAGTGCTGAGAACCTTCCACTGATACCCTTGTGTTATTCCCAGTCCCCGCCCTCATTCTCCCTAATCACTTCCCCCAACCCCCACCAACCTCCTAGTCTCAGTTGTAGAATCGGGCACTCAGTGTTGTTATCCATTGGCACTGTCCGTACCTTTTATTTCTCTGGACACCACAGATGAGTGAGGTCACCAGGTGCTAAGTAAAATAAGCCAGAGGGAGCAGAACAAGTAGAAGCGGTTTTAGACTCACAGTGGACATCTCTCTTGCTTGGGTTTTATCGATCTGATGTTAATGCCGCTAGATTCAAAAAAATATCTACTGAGTTAAGGAGACTATTGCTGTGGCAGGCATATGGCTCTGTAGTTAAGTGCCTGCCTTGCATGTGTTGAGACCTGGCATGGATCCCAGGCACTGCCAATTTTTTTTTTAAAGGCCATTGCTCATTACGTGGGGTAATAGTCCAGGATAGCTTGTCCCACGGTGTTGGAACATCCATGCAGTCTAGAGTCAGATAGATTTGGGCTAGCCTCTTAGATCTTCAGCTAGATTGGTCCATGTCTTGGAGATACATAGCACCTTGGTATATGGTGTTTTCCAAATTTGTGGGAGCGCAACATCTGATTTCCCCTTTCTATAGAAAAAGTTGCTCAGGCTTACTCCTGGCTCTGCACTCACGGATCACACAGGTGGGGCTCAGGGGACCTTATGAGATGCTGCAGATAGAACCCAGGTCGCTAGCTTGCACGGGAAGCTCATTGCCTGCTATTCCATCTCTCTGACCTTTTATGTTAGTTCCAGCCAGATTAAAATGGTTCTTCTTCCAAACTTGTAGTCCAGTGTGAGCCTGAGATAGTCTACCATGGGGAGTGAGTTGTATCTAGGACTATTTTCAGGAGGGACCCATGATTTTCCTGAGAGAGCTCTTTTTCCTAGAGAAGACTTGGCTCCTATGAGGAGGCTCCAGGCTACTGTCTCAACCAGATAATGGAAAGAAGGAATGATTCTGAGATTGGAATGGGATTTGCTGGCTTCATGGTTCATACTCTAGACTTGATGGAGAGCAGGGCATGGGCAGGGGGGTTGGGGTAGTGTGTGAGAGGGTTATAAGTAAAGAGAGGAGGTTGGTAAAAATGAAAAATGTGGATATGGCTTCATATTTTTTCATGTTTGAACCTTTATCTTAAAATAAAAAAATTTTATTGAATCACTGTGAGACAGACCCTTCCAAAGCTGTTCATGATTAGGTTTCAGTCATACAGTGTTCCAACATCCATCCCTCCACCAGTGTACATTTCCCAGCACCAGTGTCCCCAGGTTCCCTCCCATCACCCCCTACCCCCACCCCCTGTTTATCTCTATGGCAGGCGATTCTCTCTCTCCCTCCCTCCACCCCATCCCACCCACCCCCACTTTTGGGCATTTTATGAACCTTTTTTTTTTAAACACCACGATTTACAAAGTTGTTCATCATAAAGTTGTTTCAGGTATTTGATGTTCCACACCAATCCCACTAACAATGTGACCTTCCCTCCGCCAGTGTCCTCAGTTACCCACCCACCTCCTTGGCAGACACAAAATTATTTACTTTATATTGCTTGTTAAAACCTCTGTCTCATGATGGCATTCCTAAAGTCACTGAGGATTTCCTGACCTGTTTGTTTCTCTTGGAGCCTTCTGTGTTATTGTTTTTGCTCTTTGAGCTTATTGGGCTTCTATGCTACTTTTTCATTTAATTTGCTGTGTTCCGAGTGGGCGGTCAGTATTGTGAAACTTGGAGTTGTTGCACGGCCACATATTCAGGAGCTGTGGAATTGGGATGCCCAGCAGCGTGGCATCTCAGCTGGGACCTTTATATGCGGCAGAAGTTGGGTGTGGGTGGAGCACGGGGCCTTCCAACAGAGCAGGGACCAGGCCTACCCACATCCTGAGAAGGTTCAAAAGATCTGGGCCGGGAGGAGGCCGGTAAGATTGAAAAAATAGGAGGGAGCCGTGGATTGTCTCTCCTCACCGACTTCACTTTGAAAACATCTCCAGACTCAGGAGAATGGCTTTGACCATAGTTGGAAGCTCCTGTCTCAGAGGAAACCCCGGTTTAGAAATGTGCGTGTTCTGCTCTGGCACCTTCGGGGCAGTGAGGGCGGGTCACATGCCCAGAGACAGCTGCAGTTGTCACTGAGAGACTTGATTCTTCAGCCACCTTTCAGGGAAAGCTGGCAACATGTTTGCAGGCAACAAAGACTTTTATGATTTGGGGGAGAAGGGCCAGGGTGAAAGGGTTTGTGCCATGAGGACTTATCTATGGGCTTGTAGCCATCCCAGAACTTCAGGAAGTAGAGTTGGGGAACCCAGACAGGGTTTTGAGGGCTGGCAGTCAATAAAAGGCCTGCTCCTGCCCTTGACTCTTGGCTCCACAAGCACGAGTGCTCACCAGAGGGATGCTTGTGCAAGAGCCCCTAGGTTCTCAGTTTGGACCAGGTGGTTGTGTCAATGAGGAAGACTGTTAAGGAGGGCCTGAGAGGAAGAAGAAAAAAGTGTGAGGGGAACTTCCTTAAAGAGGACATAGGGAGATTGGAGAGATAGTGCAGTATGGATGGCATTTGCTTTGCATGCAGTAGCAGACCCGGGTTCAATCCCCAGCATCCCACATTGTCCCCTGAGCACCACCAGGAGTTAGTGCAGAGCCAGGAGTAACCCCAGAATATTGCTGGGTGTAGCCAAAAAAAACCATTTTTTTTTAAGAAAAGAGGACATATGGATGGCCAACAAGCATAGGAAACAGTGCTCATCATCATTTACTGGTAGGGGAATAGAAATCAAAACCATGAGATGCCACCTCATGCCAAGCGAGAATGTTGGTGGGGATGTGGGTAAAAAAGCACCCCTCATTCATGGTTAATGTGCATATCACCTGGTCCATTTGCTACGGAAAACATTATGAAGTCTTCTCCAAACGATTAAAAATAGTATCCACAGTTACAACCCAGCAGTTCCAACCCTTGGCATCTATCCCAAGAATAGCAAGTGATTAATGCAATAAGGCATGTGCACACCTATGTTCATTAAAGCACTATTTATAATAGCCAAGATCTGGAAGGAATCCAAACATCCAGTTACAGAGGCGTGAATAAGGAAATTGTCTTCTACAGACTAATGTCATCACACAGCATTTATTTTCTTTCTTTTGACTTGATTTCCTGCTGAAGTCTCCTCAAGGTCCATCCATGTTGTCCTCAGTGGCAAGACCTTGTCTATTTGAAAGAAGCCAAGGGGTATCCACTGTGTCTGTGTGTACTCCACATCCCTACCTACCAAGACTTGTCCTGCTTCTGTACCTTGGTGATCGTGCTGCTCTGAGCAGCCTGTCTTTTGGGTGAATATCTCTTTGAATCTGTATCTCCATATTTGAATAAATGCCCAGAAGCGGGGCTGCCAGTCAACTAGACCTGTGTCACTCTTTTGAGGCACCTCTATACTATTTTCTATAATGGTGGCACCAACTTACAGTCCCAGGCTTAGCTACCACCCAAAGGTGGTGGCAGAATCCGGGACCTGGGACCCGGTGGTGTTCACAGCTCCCTCCCTGCACCTCATGTCTGTGGCTGGTGACCCTTTCCAGTGATGGCCATGACTTCTCTCTACCCACCTCTCTTTTCCAATGGCCATTTCCTTCCTCTTTCTGCTTTTTTCCTTTCTTAAAAAAAAAAACAACCCAACTCTATTAAAGTGCTGTGATTTATAGGACTGTTAACGCTAGTTTCATGCACACATTGTTCCAACACCACACCTGTCACCAGACACCCCACTTCCCTCCACCAAATCCCAAAGGGCCTTTCTGTTTAATTGCCACCCTCCCATAAACTCGGTTATGTGACTAACTCTTCAGTTCTGTTTTTGACCCTTTGTCGCTCCCATACGGTGTGTCTTTAAATCTCACATACGAGGACCATCATTCTCTGTCTGTCCCTTTTCTTCTGAATCACTCTGCCCAGCACGATCACCTCTAGTTCCAACCATCTTGTGGCTGGTTGCACAGTTCCATCCTTTCTCGCAGCCGCATAGTCTTTCACTGTGTCCATGTGTGCCACCTTGATCCCAACAACCCCGTTGGGATCTGGTTTGTTTCCATATCTTGACTCTTGTCCTAAGCGCAGCAGTGAACGAAGGTCTGCATATCCATTCAAATTGACATTTTTGTGTTATGGGCTTAGACTCTGAGAAGCCATATCACTGAGTTGTTTATGGGAGTTCTGTTCTTCCTCTTCAGAGGTAGCTCCATATTGCTTTCCAGGGAGGAGGAGCCAGATGGCGTTCCCACCCATGTGAATGAAGTTCCTTTCTCTCTGCCTCCCCTCCTACACTAGCTATTTCCAGACTTGTCCACATAGACCTTTCCTACATCTTGAATGATTCTCACCTTTTCGGTAAACCAGTCGATTTCATTGTATCACCATCACATTCTTCCTTCTCCTCCTCCTTCATTTTTTCCCTCCATCTAGGTGACTGACAGACAAGTCTGGCATGTCAAGGATAATTTGGGACTTTTGCCTCTTAGCACCACTTAGTCTGGACCAGGCTTTGAGTGTGTGACTCTCCACCCCAGGGACGTGTTGCTAGAAGCACTGATGTCTGCTTCCCCAACCCCCCACTGCCTCCCGCTCAGAAATGTCCCCTTGGTACTTGGTTCTAATTCTGACACAAAACCCCTTTGCTGGAGCATGGGTCAGAGACAACTCCCCCGCCCCCCGCCCCTGAAGCCTCTCATCCCCCAAACTCCCTTCATGGTCTGGATTCTTCTATTCGCAGAACTCTCCTGCAGCAACTGCAGAAGCTCCAGACATTGGTGATGGGCAAGGTTTCTCGCACCTGCAAGCTGGCTGGCACGCAGACGGGTTCGTGCCTCATGGTGAGTTTTCTCAGGGCACAGCATTCTAAGTACCCCTGACCCTATCCTCACGACTCACCAAGTCCTGGTGTGATGGGTTTGAAGAAGGTGTTTATGCTTTCTGAGGCTCTGCTCCACTTTTAGGGGGCAGTTGTTATGCGAGAATTCATCATAACTTAGTGAGAGAGCTGGACACAGAAGGGGAGGAGGACAGAAGATTATTTTGTCACAGAGTACCCAGGGACTGCAGTGGGCCATGGGACTCTAACCCATTTGACCACTGTCACTGTCACTGTCCCTGTCCTACCGTTGTTCATCGATTTGCTCAAGTGGGCCCAGTAACATCTCCATTGTGAGACTCGTTTTCACTGTGTTTGGCATATCGAATACATCACGGGTAGCTTGCCAGGCTCTGCCATGTGGGCGAGATACTCTCGGTAGCTTGCCAGGCTCTCCAAGATGGGTGGAGGAATCGAACTTGGGTTGGCCATGTTGGCTGCGTGCAAGGCAAACACCCTACCGCTGTGCTATCACTCCAACCCCCCATTTGACCACTGATTCAAAGACTGAGGTTGCATTTATACTCTGAAACTACCACATTCCAAAGAGCCAATTAAGATCATGCAAGAGTGGGCTGTAGCAATGGTCCAGTGGGGAGGGCATTTGCCTTCCTTCAGGATGCATTCAATCCTTGGCATCCCATATGGTCCCCTGAGCCGCCAAGAATAACCCCTGAGCATCGCCAAGTGTGATCCAAAAAGAAAAAGAAAATATGTTTGGGGGCCCAAGGAATAGCACAGTGACTAGAGCGTTTACCTTGCATGTGGCCAACTCAGGTTCATCCTCAGGATCCCAAGCACAGCCAGGAGTGATTCCTGAGTGCAGAGCCAGGAATAACCCATGAGCATGTCCTGGTATGGCCCAAAAACAAAGATTAATAAGTCAAACAATATATGGTTTATAGATATGCACCAGTAAGGCATCAGCTGCAGCCAGACCTCACATAGGAGCAAATGGTCTCTTTGGACAGGTCAGGTGAGCTTTCTGCCATCATAGACCCTGTAAATATCAGGGTCCATGAGAGCTTCACCTTAGGGTCTCTTAGGGAGTGACACGATCCGCACAGATGGTGTTCTGAAAACTTCATGGTCTGATTCTTACAAACGTCTAACCCTTCCTTGGTCCAACAGTATGTGGATGATGCTTCCTTAAACTACATAATATTTCTGCAGGTTATAACAAATAACATACCTCAGTACATAACACAGTGATTGGCCTGTGGGTGCATGACCCGTTAGAAGGTCAGCAGGTTGCTCTGAACTCGGGCCTGGGAACTGACGACTCTCCATGTCTTCGTCTCCCCCTCAGGTGGTTGTGCTGTGCTTTGCTGTTGCATTTGGCAGCTTCTTCCAGGGCTACGGGCCCTATCCTTCTGCCACCAAGATGGCCCTGCCCAGCCGGCACTCGGCGCAGGAGCCTTACACAGCCTCCGTCGGTAAGAGTGGGCTCGTGGTCGCTGGGGTAGCGCCTGTTTCTCCCCCTGAAACATCAGAAAGCCCAACTTTCTAGAAGTTCGAGTCTTAGGAGAAAGTTCAATTATTTCTGAATTCATGAATGTATGACATTGATAGGTCTGAAACCTCACCAGCGCACACCGAGGGACAAGTAGAGTAAGGAAACCGGAGGAGTTTATTGGGGTGCGCTTCTGGGTAGAATCATCCAGGCTCTGGTGAGGCTCGAGTAGACGTGCACCCTGGGAGAGGCCAAGTGGGATTTTAACTTGTGGTGGGCAGGGAAGGGAACAAAACTGTGGGAATGCTGCATTTGGGGGGGACCTTTGATTCTGGGAATGTCACTGTTTCATCAGCTGGCTGCCACTTGGTCCTGAGCAAACCTTACAGCTTCTCTATCGACAGTGGTGGTGGTCGGGGAGTGGAGGGGGGGCGGAGATGTGAGGGGTTTGCTCCAGGCTTGCCTCCAGAAACTTCTGGCAATCTCTAGAATTCATTAAGAACAGCATTAGCAAACTGCCTTCTAGAGCAGAGGTTATCCAATTTACCTCTTTTCTGAAAAAAGTTACTCAGCACATCCCCCCCCCCCTGAAATTCGCCTTCTTTTAAGTGAACAGACAAAAGGTGCCCCTCTCCTCACTTATCCCAAAGCTATTTCTGTCCCCCCCCCCCCCCAGGACTGTCCCAGTGACCTCCTGGGGGCAGTGTCACCCACTTCCAGAAACTAGACTGTTTTCTGGCAAATTCTGATGCCTCTGTTCCTGCCGAGTTCTAATTGGGTGGGTGGGTGGGTGGGGAGGGGGTCAGAGACAGAAAGGGGGAAAGTGTATAGCTTTTCATGACATTTTAAAGGAATGGGGATATTTCTCCTTCCGCTCAGTGTGATTGCATGGTACCAGATTAAAACTGTATGCTGAGGGGCTGGAGCCATAGCACAGCAGGTAGGGCGTTTGCCTTGCACGCAGCCGACCTGGGTTTGATTCCCAGCATCCCATATGGTCCCCCGAGCACTGCCAGGAGTAATTCCTGAGTGCATGAACCAGGAGTAACTCCTGTGCATCGCTGGGTGTGACCCAAAAAGCAAACAAACAAACAAACAAAAAACTGTATGCTGAAATAAAAAAAAATTGGTCTGTTCTACAAAACATTAGGGCAAGGGTTTAAGGGAATTGGACACTTGAGTGCTAGATCAAAGTATGTGATTTGCTGCTCTCCAGATTAGCGATCTCTTTTACATAGGTGAAAAAATGAAGAGGCAGTTTATGGGGATCATCATATAGGCACATTATATCTGTGTGTGTGTGTGTGTGTGTGTGTGTGTGTGTGTGTGTGTAGATAAGGCTAATCAGGATCAGGGCAGCAGTGGAGACTGGGGTGCTGAGCGTGGGGGTAGCACAGCCCTGCAGCTCTGAGCAGTGCATTCCTGCCAGGCAAGTGTCAGGAGTGTTTGGATTTCCAGCCGATCGTTTCAGGTTCTCTCGGGAATGTCTCTGTTCCCCGAGGTAATGTATCTCTAAATGGAAACGGCAGCCCAGGGGAGTGTTGCCACTCGGATGGGGAAGTGGCTGAGGGCCACGGCTGGCGGGTACAGCTGCCTCTCCACCAGAGACCGGCTCCCTCACTTGATTTATGGCTTTGGCTGTTGCGCCTTTAGCTTCCTAATGATACCTGTTTTCTGCCCTCGCGCCTTCCTCTCTGCAGGCCTCTCTGCCGGCCCTCGCGGGAGCCCTTCCCCTTTCTCGTTTTTTAACTCTCCTTTCCTGTGAATAGTTTCCCCCAGATGGCTCGGGGTGGGCAATGAGGGGAGTTTTATTTTCAAAGCCGTGGGGGTGGCAGTTTGCTTCCTGTTTATTTGCGTTTCTATTGTTCTTCCGGCACTGTATAATTGGTATAATTTTTCAGTGCACAAAACTCTGAAATTCTCAGGCCTTTGGAGAAAGCCAGTTCTGATTGGCTTTCAGTCCTGTGCACGAAAAGCACGAAGAGGATACAAATTGTCAGCCCTGGGCCCAGGGGGATGTGTGTGTGTGTGTGTTGGGGGGGTTAATATATGGGATGTGCTGGTGCTTGTTTCCACCCTGACACCCATCACTCTGCTCTCCCTTCAGTGAGATCCAGGAACTTGCTCATCTACGAGGAACATTCTCCCCTGGAGGAGCCGTCCAGCCCGGAGCTGGGCCGCTGGGATGGAGGCTCATCCCTGCGCAGGGCCTCCGGGCTGGAAGCCCTGCCGGAAGTGGAGCTGCCCCATTTCCTACTCGCCAACGAGAGCAGTCTGGAGAAATCCGTGCTGCTGGAGTTGCAGCAACACCTGTGAGTACAGAGAGGCAGCTACTTTGGGTCAGGTGGGCTGGGTGGGGACTCTCCCACTGCTCTGCTTGGCTGGGTGGGGTCCCTCCCACTGCTCTGCTTCGATCTCTGGCTCAGCCCCCAGACCAGGAACTTGGGCAGGTGTGGCCGCTTGCCCGTAGAGACCAGGGCGTCAAGGCTGAGGGTGAGCTCCCCCATTTCTGCTGCCTTCCCGGGGTGTGGAGAGAGCAACACTCTTCTCAGTCTCTTCATGCTCTCCCGCCAAGACATGGGAGCCCGGGAATAGCCAATGGACTTGCTGGGCCCAGAGCTACAAGATCCCTCTTGAATTTTCTTCCAACTCTAGACACATGCAGACAGACAGTTGTGTGCTGTCTGTGATAAAAGAGGTGTTCAGGGGCTGGAGCTATAGCACAGCGGGTAGGGCATTTGCCTTGTGTGTGGCTGACCCTAGTTTCATTCCCAGCATGCCATATGGTCCCCTGAGCACCCCAGGAGTAATTTCTGAGTGCATGAGCCAGGAGTAGCCCCTGAGCATCGCCAGGTGTGACCCAAAAAAAGCAAAAAACAAAAAAAAACAAAAAAAAAACCCAAAAAGCGGTGTTCACTGTCTATTGCTAGTACAGGGCCCCATGTTGGCACCCCCATTTCTTTTTTTTTTTTTAATTTTTTTTTTATTAGTGAAACACCATGAGGTACAGTTGTAGATTTACAATTTTTTGTGCTTGGGTTTGATTATACAATGATCAGATACCCATCCCTCCACCAGTGCCCATTTTCCACCACCATGGATAATATCCCCCCACCCCTATCCCCCCATCCCCCCCTGCCTCTGTGGCAGGGCACCCCCATTTCTAACGTGCATGGGACGCCATTGCAGAGGCCTCGTGTGTGTGAGTGTGTGTGTGTGTGTGTGTGTGTGTGTGTGTGTGTGTGTGTGTGTGTGATTCCATATTGAAACCCCTGGGCTACAATTCCCTGAGTTGTTTCAATTCCCTGAGGTGTTTCCCTGAGGTAGTGACGGGGGAAAGTTCTTTTGAGAACCTAAGGCCTTGCATGAGAGCTGGACATTGTCAGGGGGCTCTGGGTGGTGTCTGGGAACAGAGAACAGCAAATGGAAGGAGGGTCTGCGTGCCCTCTCCTGCTTATCTGTGGGGTAGCAGGTGATTCGCCTCAACTCTGCCTCAGGGCCTCCCGGGAGTGACGCTGCTCCAGTGAGTGGGTGAGCTTCTGTGTCGACTTCCTCAGCCTTCTTCCCTTCCTGCCGAAGGGAAGGCTCGTAATTATAGATGCTCGCATTATACATGCACATGTAACATTTACTCGTACTTTCTGTCTTCGGCACTATGCAAATAGGGTGTGGTGATCCTTCAAGAGATCCGGCGTTAGGATTATTCCCATTTTAGGGAGTTGTTCACAGGCCCTGGGGAATGAGAAGACGCAGTCGCTTCCTCCCTAGGCCCGTGACCCTCTTTGCTCAGCCATACAAGGCCTGGTTGAAGTCCCACTTGTTCCCTGGCGAGGGGCTGTCTCCCCCCTGTTCTCTGCTGAAGGGGGAGACACTCAGGAATCCTCCTCTGGGTACACAGAAACTCTCTGAGCTGTCATCCAACTTAATGACAAACTCATTTTCTATTAGATACTTTTGTTGATTTCAGGTTAGTTTTTTGTTTCAGTTCTCATTTTGTTTGTTTGGGGGCCACACCCGGTGATGCTCAGGGCTCACTCCTGGCTCTGCACACAGGAATTATTCCTGACAGTGCTCAGGGAACTGTATGAGATGCTGGGGATTGAACTTGGCTTGGCAGTGTGCAAGACAAACATCCTAAACTCTGTGCTACCACTCTGGCCATGTGGATAATTAACTAGGCCAGGATCAGGTCATTTGTCCTTTCATTTTATCCTTCTCAGGGCTATCTCAGGGCTCACCGTTCTCCAGGACTGCCTTCATTATGGCAGTGTTGGTGCTCTGGGTTGGGGTGGAATGTGGAGGGGGAGAGGTGGATGGTGGGAGACCTGGAACTTGCAGGTCATTGCTACTGGATAAGGGGCAGGAGTGCCGTGGGGTCCCTCCCAGCCCAGGACCATTGGATCATCTTCCCAGGTGGGAGAGTGGGGTGAGTCCTTGGCGCTGTGGCCTCTAAGACAGCTCTTTCTATGCCTTCCCAGGGCTGGCACCAAACTGGAGGGGAATGAAACCCTCAAAGTCGTGGAACTCGACCGAAGAGTGAACACCACTTTCTGAGAGGTGCTCCCCAGCCGCCCTCCCGCTCCTCCACCTAGCTTGGACTTCCCCCAAACATCTTCCCCATGAGTTTCGCCTTTCTGCCTCTAATCCGGATGAAGACACAGATGAGGCCACCGCCTGCTGTTGACTTGGCAGGGGCAGTGAGCACCCTCACCGGCCGTCCTGGTCCTCCCGGCGCAAGGAGACTGGTCCTCCCCATGCAAGGATTCTGGTACTTACCGCACAAGAATGCTGGTCCACCCCTTGCAAGGATGCTGGTCCTCACTTTCTCTTTGAGGACATTCTTGGAAGGGGAAGGGCAGGAGTGGGCCCAGAGCCTTTTTTCCCCACTTAGAAAGTGCCAAGGAGATTCTGCCTGATTCTCACCAGTGGCGCGACCCACTGTTTGGAGAAGAATTAGCTCTCGTTCACATCAGAATTGGGCAGTGAACATGCCCAGATGCCTGCGGGGATGTGGCCCAGCACTGGCTGCCCAGTGTCTGCTCCCTGGGTCGCGCGCGTGTCCACCCCATCCACTCTGGAAGTGCCTGCGACTCCGAGGAGCACCCCCCCCCCCCGCCCCCGCTGTGCCCCGGGGGATGCCCGCCACCTGGCCTTGGGGCAGCAGTGCAATGCCTGAAGGCATCGGGCTTTTCTCCTCCGCCCTCTCTTTCCTCTCTGACTGCTCATCACCTCCACACCCAGCGCTGTGCCCCCCGCTTCTCCTCCCCGTTTGTAAATAGTATTTATTAGCACGCCAAGGCTTCTCACGACCACACTGAAGAGACCTGTCCCCCAATTCTGGGCCAGCAGGCACGTCTGCCGCCTTGGGAGTGAGGGGGGCTTGGGGACCCCATCTTTCCAGCCATGTTGCGTTTCCTTCTCTTCCTCCTCCACATCCTCCCCGCCTCCTTCCCCTCCTCCTCCCTCTCCTGCTCCTCCTCTCCCTCCTCCTCTCACTCCTCTCTCTCCTCTTCATCCCCCTTCTCCCTCCATCATTCCTTCCTCCTCCTTCTCCCACTTTACTCTCCCCTCTCATCCTCCCCTTCCTTCCCCCCCTCCCATCCTACCCCCTTCCCTTTCTCTCCCTCCTCCTCCACCTCCCTCCTCCTCCTTCCTCCTCTTCTCTTCCCTCTCCTTTCTTTCTCCCACGCCACTTCCTCCTCTTCTTCCTTTCCCTCCCCCTCCTCCCTCTCCCTCTCTCTCCTCCCCTACACTCCTCCCCCCCAACCTTTTCCTCCTCCACCTCCTTCTTGCCCCATCCAGTATGGTTGGGCCACCGTGGGAGGCCAGGGAGCAGTGTCTGCCCAGGAGTGTGGGCTTCTCCTGTCCTGTGCCCACCACAGGGTCCCCGCTGTCTCCCTGGCTCCCTTCACCCCTGGCCTTGCCCCCTCACCCTGCATTTCTGAGTCCCCTTCCCCTCCCACCTCTGCACTGGGTGGCCACAGAGGCGGCTCCTGGAGGTGGTGGCCACGTGTGTCCAGAGTTTTACCTTTGATATAGTCAGGTTTGGCTACTTTGCAGCTCACCCAAAGACATACAACCTAACCCCCCATCCTACTTTTATTACTGTTTTTTAATGATTCAAAGTAATGTTTGTAGTTTTTCAAAAAATCTTTTCTGTTTTCCTACAAATAAGAAATGGAAATAGTGTTTTTGTTTTGTTTTGTTCTGACTGTGTGATGTAGAAGATTGCTACCAAAGTTTGTTTCAGTAGCTTGTAAAAGATTTGGGGTAGGAAATTAGCTTCTATTTTGTATTGTATTTGTAGACCTGGTGGAAAGGTTTACTTTCTCTCTCTCTCTCTCTCTCTCTCTCTCTCTCTCTCTCATGTACTTTTAAGGGGTACATTAAAGATACTGCCTGACATCATTATCCTTCCCATCAGACCTGAGCTGGGGACCCTCACTTTGCCTTCCAAACCACATTTGGGGGCGCCTCTCCCTGTGGGATGGAGCATTTCACACCCAGAGGCCAAGCTTGTCTTCTCTCACTGCCTGAAGGCTGTGGTTGTCCCGGTGGCCCTATGCCAGCCTGCCTGGTCCCTCCAGAGCTTCGTGTGGGACTCACTGCAGGATGTGGGAAGGAGGGATCTCCCGCCAGGCTCTGCTTGGCTCCTCACAATGCCCTTCCCTCCTCCTCTTCTCCCAGTGCTCCTGGGCCTGCCTGGTGTGTGGTTCTCAGACTTTTCTTTCTTTGAAAAAAAAATGTCCTGAGCTTGTCAGAGTGGGGGTAGAATTGGAGCATTAATAGAGAGTGGAGGCAGGGTCTGGAGGATGAGGAGGGTTTTGTGTTGAAGGGACCGAGTGTGAGAGGGACCAGTACTTCCCTGGAAATCTACCTTCTTTACGTGAACAGAGAGCAACCCCCAGTCACACCCAAAGGTGCTGCTGCCCCTCTCTGGGCGGTTCTGGTGTGTGTGTGTGTGTGTGTGTGTGTGTGAGTGTCACCCACTTAGGGGGAATGCTGTGCTGGCATCCTGTCCTCGGTAGCTGGAGGACCTTACCCCCCAACCCACCCCACCTCCCCTCTGCCCTCTCTTGCTAGCCCGTCTCCACCCCTCCACACAGCATGCCTTTCTCTCTGTTCTTCCAGAACTGAGCCTGGCTCCACACTTAACTTGGGCTCGAGTTGATGATGGCTGTTCTCAGGGGGTTCAGCTATCTCGGTGGCTACTGTCCTGACAAGCACCTCTGCCCCGAGTCCTGGCTTGGCGAAGAAAGGGACAGAAGCAGTCATCCGATGGGGGCCAGGAAGACTCAAGAGATGACCAGGCTGGGGCCAGGAGAGGGGACAGGAATAGACTGCTTTCTAAGAGCTCCTGGATATGTCCACACATTCTGTTTCAGACTCAAGGGCAGAATTGTTGCAGATGTTTCCCACACCGGGGCCCTCTGAGCAGTCCGCAGAGCCCAGTTCTCCACAAATAACCCTAACAGCGTAGATGCTGAATTTTGAACGTATTTGGAAGACAGGAGGCTATTAGCACATCTCGGACCCCTGAGGAAGCCGTGCTTGTGACACAGAGGTGAGCTCTAGTTCTCCCTCTTCACAAAGAGGCTCTTGTCTTCTTTGCTGCTCTGGGAAGGAGACATCTTGTGGGCAAATTCAGACAACTGGCCTTTTTTTTTTTTTTTTTTTTTGCACTCCCCCTGTTAAGCTGGACAAGTCACCAGGAGCTCCTTATATGAAAGGCCTCGGCTGGTTGCAGGAAGGACTTTCTGGAAAGTGCCAGCACTCCAGAGCCAGCCCATAGGAAAGGTGTGAACACCCCAGCTGGGGCTAGCGAGGTCACCCCCGACCCCCGCGGGGGGCCCAGTGTGAGGAGAGGCTTGACACCAGGGCGGATGAAACCAGAGAGCTTTTCCCTGATCAGAAGACCCGATGGGTAAATGGTGAAAATGCATTTCACGCCACTTCTTCACAAACCAGCCCTCAGTGCCAGGCTCCGGTTTGCCCATCTAAGAAATCGCTGGTTTGTAGCCTGGGTGTCAGATGTCAGGGGAAGTGTGTGAGTCTTCAGTGTGGGCATGTTGAATGGTTTCTCCTCTGCTCCACAGGGAATCTGAAAGAAATGTTGTCAGTGTTTGTTGATGAATGTTCTGTGTTCCACAGCTCCTTCTTGCCTTGCCTTCAGGCCCGCTTCCTCCAGGGAGATACAACACCTGTGGTCTGAGAGGCAGACCTGAGCTCAGGCAGAGATGAAGGTGACCTCCAGCCTGTACCCCCGAGGAAAGGGTCCCCACCCCGCAGGCCTTGCTCACAGGAGTACTTGGGGGCCCTCTGCTTCCCGTCATTCCCGGGACTCGCTGCTTCTGTGGAAGCCAGTTTGAGAGGAGCTTCGAAGAACGATCCATGGCCCCGCTTGCCAGATGGCAGGGCCTGGGTACCCACTGGCAGGCAGTGCCCTGGGGAGTATCCCCTTGCTAAAACCCTTTTCAGCTGAGACACTTGTAGAAATGTGCGGAGAAGCACCTCTAGGTGGGTGTGTTTTAGGGCGCTGGGAAGAATCAGGGAGTTTTGAAGAGTCAGAACAATCCATTCCAGATTTTCATTCATTCATTCATTCATTCATTCGGCGAGTGTTAGGGCTCTGCAATTTGCATGAGGTCCTAAAGGACATTGTGGAGTAATAGCAATGAAAAGTATGTCATTAATTAGCCCCTATTCAAGACACTGGTGGTAGGTTTCTTTCTCTCTTCCCCCCCAACCCCCTACCCCACTACTCCTCCCTACTCCTCACATGTGCCTCAAACAGGCCTCATAGATGAGCCCAGGGTGACTGGGAAGTCCCTCAGCCCCCGGCAGGCAGGTTTTCTGTGTAGCCTTAGAGTATCACCTGATGCGTGGACGTGGAAGTTTTCCTCCCAGTCTCAAAGATGGTTTCTCTAACAGGGATCCAAGAACAGATTTTGCACTTTAGGAGAAAAGAAACAGGATTTTGTCCATTAGGAGATTTCCGTTATGTAAAAGTGCAACCATCTCATGAAGTTGGCCAGCCAGCATGAAGGGGGGGTTGCAGATCCTTCCAGAAGAACATCCTGGTGTCAAGGAATTCTGCCCATGTGGAGGAATCCATGTGTCAATGTGTCATTGGCCCAAGTCTCAGCCCTTCCAACAGAGAGAGAGAGGGAGAGAGAGAGAGAGAGAGAGAGAGAGAGAGAGAGAGAGAGAGAGAGAGAGAGGAGAGAACATTGCTTAAGGTGCTTGTCTTGCAGTGACTGACTCTTGTCTGGTCCCTGGCATTGTACATGGTCCTCCTGAGCACTACTAGGAGTGAGCCCTGATCATCACCAACTGTGGTTGTGGTTCAAACCACAACCAACAACAACCAAAGAGAGTCTACTTGATATTTGATTTTAGGTTGGGGAACATGGAATTTGGGACTGTTTTGCCTTTTGTCTTAGTTACTAGAAGGAAGGAAACCAGTATTTCTTGAATGCTTATTGGTGCTGGTATACATTGGTATCGGTATAAAGTGTTTCCATTGCAGACTTAGAGCAGACAAGGACAGCTCCCTGGCCGTGAGACAAACAGCTCCTGCGTTCATTGCTGGACAAGGTGGAGCCCATTTCCTCCTGAAGACACATGTTTCGAGCTTGCCAGGCAGGAGGCAGGAGGCCCTCTGCTTCATCCTGTACCCAGTCACTTCTCTGCCTCCCGCTGACTGTGTCCAACTGAGGGCTACCTGCTCTTCCTTTCATCCTAGTTTCTGTGAGTTTCCACAGGCAGGTTTGGCGTCCTGGAAAAGGAGGACCAGGGCATCTAGTTCTATTTCTCTCTTCTGTCTTTGCTCCCAGCTTGATGAGAACATGTACTGTGGGGACCGTGATCCCAAGGCCAGCCCTGCTTAGAAACGCGCTATTTCAGATGAGACGCTCTCTGAGTCCGTGAGAACACCAGCACCCTGACAAATTGTGGCTGACCCTTTTTCAATCACGCCGGAGAGATCTTGGCCTGAAATCATCCCTGAGCTTTCATGCCTCTACTGACAGGCTGGGTTTTTCTCTCTTCTCGTGTGTAATAACCTACCAGCGGTGTTTCAGCCTCAATACCTTGCAAGTCTAGTATCTGGCCCTATTGCTATTGTTTTTAATGGCTTTGCATTCTTTATCATAGCAAAAAGTAAATACCAAATAAATAAATAAATAAATGAAGCTTTGTAGTATACTTGTATTTAGTTTTGGGGAAAATATGAAATTGTTATGCTTTTGTATTTCCATTTCTTGCAAATAAAAATATTTTTCTTAAATAGTACAATGGTGTCTGGCCTTTCAAAATCCTGGGACTCTTGTTTCAAAGCCATAGGCTTTCCTTGGGTGCCTGAGTTTGCAGACATGGAAATGTAGGTTCTCGTCCACAGAAAGCAGACTCACTCCAGTGGTGTGTAAGTTTTTTTGTTTGTTTGTTTGTTTTTTTGCTTTTTTGTTTCACACCTGGTAATGCACAGGGATTACTCCTGGCTTATGTATTCAGGAATTACTCCTGGCAGTGCTCAGGGGGCCATATGGGATGCTGGGAATTGAACCCGGGTTGGTCATGTGCAAGGCAGATGTCCCACCCACTGTGCTGTCACTCCAGCCCCACCAGTAGTGTGTAGTTAGATAGTCCGGACCCAGGTCTCTCCTGAGCGGGATAGAGAAATGTTTCCTGTTTCTCAGTCTGGGAAGACTCGCAATGTCTGCATGAGTCCAGTCATTGCCTGCTATCACTCCCTCACTCTCTGGATGCTGTGGATTCCATTTTGCTTGCCCCATCTGAAGGTGCTGTCAAGGTTTGGGCTCAAGCAGCAGAGGCTCCTGCTAGATCAGAAGTGTCTGGCACATCTCCCATGCCTCACACTCCCCAGATGCAGTGAAATGGCTTCTGGAGGACGCAGCTGTAGGATACAGCATGGGCAGTCCATGGCCATCTCTGCATTCTGACTGATCGGGGCTCTAGGTCTCCCTAGAGTGAGCCCACGGGCCTTTGAGACCAAGGCCAGGTGCTGAGCTGAGTGGGGGCTCTGGGCTGCATTCAGCTGCCTCCTTCCTTCTTTGAGCATTTGGACCTTGGACCTTCTTTCTTTATTTTTATTTGGTCACCATGAAATTGGGCTGAAGCAATACCACAGCAGGTAGGGCGTCTGCCTTGCACGCAGCCAACATGGCCAACCAGAGTTCAATTCCTTCGCTCCTCTTGGAGAGCCTGGCAAGCTACTGAGAGTATCTCGCCCACATGGCAAAGCCTGGCAAGCTCCCCGTGACGTACTCGATATGCCAAACACAGTAACAAGTCTCACGATGGAGATGTTACTGGACCTGCTCGAGAAAATCGATGAACAATGGGAGGACCGTGACAATGACCATGAAATTGGGCTGGAGCGATAGCACAGGGGGTAGAACATTTGCCTTGCACGCAGCTGACCTGGGTTCGATTCCTCTGCCCCTCTCAGAGAGCCTGGCAAGCTATCAAGAGTATCCCGA